ACCTATTGATGAAAATTTATGCTTTTAATCTTTTGCTATTACAAATATTGCAAAGAATTTCCTTGCTTATCTGCCACATATACTGTATATAAAACTTTATCGTTATAATGAATTTCTGACAAATGGACTTACTTGGTCAAGGGAGATAGATAGATAGATAGATAGATAGATAGATAGATAGATTTTTTTATGGTTGTCCAGTGGTTCTCCATATAGATTATAATAGTTTATAGTTCCATTATCATTATGTTGGAGTGTCTTTTGTCTACACTTTAATCGATACAGTGTCTTATCAAACATTTTCATTATTTTAAAATCAATTTATTATTTTATGAGAGAAATTGAACACTTTTTACAATGTAAAAGTTGTTTATATTTTTCTTTTTATGAATTGTTTGTTCAATACCCTTTACATTTTATTTACTTGAATATTTCCTTCTTGTCAATTTATAGGAGCTCATGTGTAATAGAGAATCTAGTCCTTTATTATATTGTAGATATTTAATCCAGTTTGCCTTTTGACATTTTTTACATTATTTTCGTCCTGTAATTTTTTTATTTTTATATTTTATTGATTTTTTACAGAGAGGAAGGGAGAGAGATAGAGAGTTAGAAACACTGATGAGAGAGAAACATCGATCAGCTGCCTCCTGCACATCTCCCACTGGGGATGTGCCCGCAACCCAGGTACATGCCCTTGACCGGAATCGAACCTGGGACCTTTCAGTCCGCAGGCCGACGCTCTATCCACTGAGCCAAACCGGTTTCGGCTCTCCTGTAATTTTTTAAACATACATTAAACATTGTTATTGACTTGTGTCAAACTCAGACAGGCCTTGCTCATTCTGGAGTTCTAAAAATATGTTTTATCTTTACTACTAGCACTTTCATGGTTTTATTTACTACATCAAAATTTTAAGCCATCGGGAAATTATTTTTTTGTGTTAAGTCAGAAAATTTTCCAACTTAATTTCTTCTCCAGGTTCCCTAAAACTATCATATTTCTCAGCCTTATAGTCAGTTATGAATCAGTACCAAAGTATTTTTCTGTTGAAACAATAATATATTTTAATACCAGTTGAAGTAAGTCACTATTATATATCTATCCTGAAATTCTTCTGGTGAGTGATATTTTTTTAATATAATCTTTAGAATTATCTAGTATTATTTTAAAGGATGGTTGTTGCAATTATTTTTCACCACAGAAAATTTATAAATTAATTTAGACAGAAGCAAGATCTTTGGGATGTTATTTTCAATCTAATGATACCTTTCCAGATTTGATGTCTTATTTCTTTCATTAGTGTTTTAAAATGTCTTCATATAATCTTTTTTATATTTCTTAATAATTTTATTCCTGGATTCCATGTCTTTTGTTGTTGTTGTTGTTGTTAATGTATATTAGTTACTTTCTATTTTGTCTTTTCTGAAGCTATTGTATATAGGGAGGTTAGTGATTTTGTCTAAAAATCTGTAATCAAGCCCTTTCTCCATCCCTTGTTGCTGGCATCCACTGTTCTGCTTTCTATCTCTGTTGTTTTGCCTTTTATCAGAATGTCATAAAAATGGAATCGTATAGGATGTAGACTTTTGAGCCTATTTTTTTTCACTTAATATACTACATGCCTGTTTCTTCATTCAGACTCTCCTCCTAGGTCTTAACAGTGCTCTGAGGGGGTCCTGAGACCAGGTTGTTACTCCCATCCTACTTTTTTAAAGAGTGATTGTAGGATTTGCCCCTTAGTAGTACTATCTCCTTTGAGAACTGTTCTGTCAGCCTTCTTGTACATCTGCTAGTTTCTGAGAGCTGCAGGCATCCTCTCAGAAACATTTTTCCAGTTTACATGCATTCATCAGCCCTTCGTCTTATACTGTGGCTTTTTTTAAAAAAAATATATTCCATTTATTTCTTTACAGAGCGGAAGGGAAAGGGATAGAGTATTAGAAACATCGATGAGAGAGAAACATTGATCATGCACACCCACCACTGGGGATGTGCCTGCAACCAAGGTACATGCCCTTGACTGGAATCGAACCTGGGACCTCTCAGTCCACAGGCCGACGCTCTATCCACTGATCCAAACCAGCCAGGGTTACTGTGGCTTTTTGATCGCAGATGTCTTCCAGTGTTAGGGAAGATGAAACTTGAATTTCTTTTCTTTTGTCTTCTCCTTTTTTCTTTCTGGATTTCTTTCTTCCTCTGGTGTGATATTCCTAGGGCAGAGACAGTAACACATTACCTTGCAATTTTAAAAATATATGTTCTTTCATAGGTATTAAATATAAATTTCTCTAGCAAATAGCTGCTGCACTGATAATTTAGTGCTTGACTGAGGGCGAGCTGTAAGCTAAAGGATGGGGAAGCTGTTTAGAGCTGAAATGTCCCTAGTTTTAGTACATGCTAAGAAATATCTGACTTCCTTTCACTGTATCATCATTTCAGCATTTTCTCTTATGCAATATCCCTTTTGCTTATTCCACTGAGTAGTCTTTGGAATTTAATATCCATAATAATTATTAAACATATATTAAGATGTTAAGTATTCATACTTTAATTATCAATTACCATAATAACTATGTTATACATAAAAAATGTTGAGGGTCAGAGAGTTTAAGTAAACTTCTACAATGTACACAGATAGTTGATAGCAGAACTCTGTCTTAAACCTGAATTTTCTTACTCCAAGTCTATAACTTTTTTACTACATCACCATACCCTCCACATTTGTATTTCCTGTGACAGATTTCAGCTTACAAATCAAATTTGCATACATTATTTAATTGGATTCTGATAACAGGTTAAGTTAGATTGAAAGTAGGTTATGTTAACCCCATTTTACAGATAAGGACACTTAATTTCAAAAAAGATAAATAATTTTTCAAAAGCAAAGAGTTGTTTCATAGCCAGAGCAGAAAATCAAGCAGGGCTCCTAATCTTTCTTTTAAATGACAGAACATCATAATCATTTTTTGCATTAATAATGATATATTCTGATTTAAAATTTTATGAGGATTTTTTTCTATTGGGGGCCATTTGAAACTATTTTGTTCATGTTTAGTGTCTTGTATCTGTTAGCTATTGTCATAGTGATGTTATCACTGTGCAATAAATAACGACAATAGCTAAGTGATCACAATCCACATAATTTTTGCTCACAAGTTCTCAGGCCTTTTGAGCAATTCCTGTGGTCTTGGCTGGACTTATGTACTACACAGTCAGCTACAGGTCTATTGGTTAGCTCTACTGATCATGGCAGGGCTCTCTCCCTTACTATCTATCATCCAGTTTCTTGGGATGTATTCAGTTTCTCTCCACATTCATTCATTCAAAAACATTTAATTAATGTGCTGGGAAGAGCTTCCTAAAGTATATTCATGTCCAGTGGGGGCGAAAAATGGCAGCAACTCCCCTACACTAAGGGTTGCCAGCCTAGGTTCACACCCTTCGGAACCTAGGTTTACATGTGTTCTTCCTCTGGTGCTTGGTCTTAGGGACATCGTAACAAGCAAGACAGATAAAATCCCTATTTTCATAGAGCTTATTGTCTAGTGAGGGAAATAAATGACCCACAAGTAAATACTGGTTTTAAAATATACTTCAAGCAGAATAAATAAGCCATGGTGATATAATTTAGATGGGTCTTAATTAGGTAACTAATCAGGAAAGGCCTCTCTGTAAAGATGAGATAAATAAGAACAGTAAGCCTATTTGCAATTGATAGAAACCCAGTTCAAATGAATTAGAATTGATAAATGCATTGGCTCACATATACAACGCATGGGGTGTGCGTAGGAGATTTGAAGGAGGCAACTAGTCTTAGGGGTAATTGGAACTATTGCTTTGAATGTTCTTAGAACACAGTCTCTGCCCAGGTCATCGCTGCTTGATTCTCTGTGACATTTTTCTCTTCTCTAATACTATGAATAGGTTTCTTCAACTTACAAGAACATTAGTATTCACAACATTAGCCTTAGAGATTGGTGACCTAAAAGGAAAAGAGAGTAGGTTCCCTTATCTTGAAAGCTTCTCTCCAAGTTTACAAACCTATTAACCAGACTCAGATCTTACAAACCCATTAACCAGACTTAGATCTTACAAACCCATTAATCAGACTTTGATCCACCTCCTGGGAGGATCACTGTGGACAGGGCTTATTATAGCAGCTCACTTTCAGAGGATGTATCTACATTTGGGATAGGAAAACCAATTTTTCTAAAGGGAAATGCGGAGAGCTGACACTAATATGGAAATGGGGGAAATCTTTGCAAGCCTGGCTCTCTTCCTCAAAAATGTACTCATTAAACAGAATTCAAGTGTAAATTATAGTAGTATGTTGGCCAGTAGTTGGTTCAGAGTTTGATACATTTTTTAAATAACAACAATTTTTTGGTAACTTTTGGGTATTTAAACTTTTTTTCAGGTACAAAATATAAAACTTTAATCTTATTTCTGTTTTTAAAGCTTTTTGCTTTCTTTCCACTCAGGCCTGATCTAGGCTTAAAGACTAGTGGGGAACAGTGTACTCATGACTTTCTTGGACTGTGGAGAACACTGAATCTTCATTTTTATGGGGACCGCTTCTTAACTTTACACTCATCAATTGTTTTTATAAAAATCCTCTTTCTATTGGATCTTTCTCCTTCATGAACCTGTAGGCATGTGATGAGCTGAGTGGCAGAACTAGTTTTAGCTAATTCTTAGCATTTTCTGTGTTTTCCTAAGGTTTGGATGGTCAGCTGAAACTCCATAAAAACAGAAAATATTCCATTTTGTCTTTGAATTCCAATAATTTATACCTTATTTTAATAAATACAAAAAACCTAAATTATTCAAGTTTTTTTCTTTTAATTTTTGGAAAAAATTATTGCTTCTTTAATGACAGATAATTATATAATAATTATACTTTTGAATGAATGGATTTTGACCTCAAGCATTTTATTACACTTACCAAAGTACATGAATATTTTCATAAGTTTATTAAAAATAAATTTAATTTCAGATCCCTTTGAAGCATTCATCATCTTTTCTATTCGCCATGAAATCAGAAGAATTGATCTTCATAAAAGAGACTATAGTCTACTTGTTCCTGGATTGAGAAACACAATAGCTCTTGATTTTCACTTCAATCAAAGTTTACTTTATTGGACAGATGTTGTAGAAGACAGAATATATCGAGGCAAGCTTTCTGAAAGTGGAGGTACGTATGTTACAATTTTAACTTAATGTTTACATTCGTTTTTAACTGAAAATTCCAGAAAATATATTGTAATCAAAAGAAGTTTTGATTAATCTTTGGCTGTTGGTTCTTTAGCTCTTCCCAAACATATGTAAAAGCAGGGATGTCACATATACCTGTGAGAATATGTGAAGAAATTTATTTATAAGAAAAAAGTGACTATCTTCTACATGCTAACGATTATATTTGTGAGTTAAAAAAATGTTATTTTGTTATAATCTTTCAGACTATCTCAAAGAAATGGTGAAGAAATTTTTGCAAAGACTGCTAATATGAGCTAAATATTTTTGCCATGTTTTGACTTATCTCTTCTGTCTAATCTAGGCTTTTTTTAAGTAGCAAGTCTTTGAGA